GCAGGCGGGCGGGAAAGCCGCGGAGGGGGGGGGCCCGCTTCTCCTTCTCCTCCTTGACCATCAACTGGCACAATCGTCCCAGGTGTGCTTTCAGGACTCCTGTTCCTCGACGGGTCCGCCAAGTGGGCCAACCTGGAGGGCATGTCTAGAGCTGGGTGGGCGATATGCAGCGTTGATCGGTTTGGAAATCTGATTTCAGCTGTATATGGACTCGTACCTGTGAGTGCCGCTCCTCAGCAGACCAGTAAGGACGGGGAGGACTACGCTGTACATATGCTGACGCAGTGTGGTCTTCCCCCGTTTCAGCTGTATATAGACTGTCAGTCAACTTTGGATTCCTTGGCCAACGGTCCTGGGAGTTCTGTTGGTCCTGGGGCGCCGAGGGGTCATCTCTGGGGCCCGTTTTGGTCCGCGTTCGGCCAATGGGACTTTGAAGTTTTTAAGACCAAGGCCCATGCGACGGCCTCTGATGTCCAGTCTGGAGTCACCACGGTGTGGGAGCAGCGTGCGAATCAGCATGCTGACACCTTCGCCAAGGCTGGCGTCGATCTGCATGGGCGGACGGAGGAAGAGATGAATTTGTGGCGAGTCCTACGGAGCCTGGCCATGGAAGCTGGGAGATGGGCGGCTCGTCTAGAGGTGGCCCTCTCGTCTCTGCCAGGGAGGGACACGACTGGCCTGGAGGCCTCAGCCGTGGCCTCTCCGCCCCCAGCGCCTGCCGCCGCTGCTGATGAAGCCGACCTCTCCAGTCAGACAATGGCTGAGGACGGGCGGCCCTCGGTGGAGGGGGAGGACTTGGGGGATTGGGTCTCGTTTGCCCTCCTGGTGTTCCGTGTCAACGGCCACGCCCTGCTTGGGGCTGGAGTTTGGGACGCTGTAGGGAACACCAAGGGGAGGCTTCAGTTCTGTGTCAAGTGCGGTAGTTTTTGCTCGGGGGGGAACCTCTCGAAAGGATTGTTTGGCCCATGTAGACCCAAGACGGGTGCCACGGGAGGGCTCAGTGATCAGTTGAGGAGAATTCGTCAGTCGAAGTTTCCCTCGTATAAGCATGACCTGAAGGGGCTGCTCCTTGGGCCCCATGTGGGCCTCACCCTCGCTGAACGGCGGGCCCTGGCGGCCTCGGTGTTGACGGGTGGTCCTGGGGCCCCTCGGGGTAGCCTCGTAGGTAAATTCGACTCCCAGGGCGGGTACGCCTGCAGGGGGCAGGTTTTGGATTCTTTTGGGCTTGTGGAAGCCGACCTCGCTTGGGTCAGAGACCGTGGCGTGGCCTCCGCGCGCCCAGGGACCCCTCTTGAGGAGGAGACCGATTCGGACGCGTCCGATCTGGTCTGATCTTGGATTTTCGGCTTCAGGCCCGTCCCCAACAACCTCCTCCTACTCCTCCAGGCCGCCCGTTCTTGGAGCCAGAGAGCAGGTGGACGCGGGCCCGCCAGAAGGCGGGTGCGTCGGAGGCTTCTCGGGACCCGGGTGGGTTTTCATCGGTAGCGCTTCGTCGAGGTGCCCGAGTCGTCCCGAGCGCCGAGCGGGCGCTGGAGGCCCGAGTTGTGGCCCGAAAGCCATCGGCGACGATGTGTTGTCGGGTCGGAGGAGGGCCGGGGGAGAGAGTGGCGGCCCTCCTTTCGAAGAAGGAAATACGCCATATTCCTTGGATCCGCGCTGGGCCCCCCCTGGCGGCGCCTGGGGCGCCGCCCCTGGCGCGCTCCGCGCGCCAGGGAGGGGGGTCCAGCGCAGATCCAAGAAATCCGCGTTCAGCGCCAAAAGTTCACGATTATGCCGTTGTTTCTTCTTCTACTGGCGTTTTTTTACCCCTTCGGGGGCTCCCCCTCGCCGCCGCGACTAGATCCGCGGCGAACACGGGGCCCAGATGGACCCCGAAGGGGTATCGATTTTGGTCGGACTTGGACAGGGCGGGAGAGCCACCGTTGTTTCAACTGGCCCTCAGCCGAGGTGGGGTCGAACGATCGCTCCACATCGTCGCTGCATCGGCGATGCGGCCCCGCGGTCCTGGTGCTGCTCCTCCGCATCCGCCCTTCGGCCGCCTCTGAGTTTCGCCCGTCCCGGCGCGCTCGTTGCCCAGTTTCTCCTTTCGCAGGTGGCATCGCCTGCCCCTGCTTGCCCGGCGTCCGACTTGATTCGTGCGCCTGCGTACCCAAAAAATACAGCACGATCCAGAGCTTAATGTTGTCCATCCCGACGTCACACATGCGTCGCCGATGCATTGGCGACCTGTGTGATTTTCCGCCCCCTTCAGCTTGGACCCGATCTGGGCGGTTCCATCCAGGGCCCTGGAGATTATGACCGACATTGCAGGCCAGAGCTGTGGAAATTCCAGCTGGAAGAAGCGAGCAACCGAGACCCGTTGGCCCCTGGCGGGCCTCTGTCCTGGCTTGCCATGGTCGACGCTTACGGGGCTCCGATGTGATCCAGGCCGCCAAACCGGGGCAGGAGCGTACCCGTTGCGTGGGATCGTGCGGGTGGGGCCACCGATTGCCGTGCCCATGTGACGTCCAGGCCTCGGACAACAAGCGTGACGGAATCCGCGGGCGCCCGCCAAGGTCCCAGTTAGTCGGGTGGCTTCGGGAGCTGTGCGAGGCGCCGCGCTGCACCGCGCGCGAAATCGGCAACACTGCATCCGCCTCAATACGCATGTCGGCTTCAGACAGACGTCGGAACGGCCTTGGCAAGCCTCGGAGGGTCGGACTCGGGCTGGATGGCCTCGGGCACTGCGCGGATGGCCAGGGGGCCTATTCAATTTCGTTTGCCCCCTGCGACTACCAGGCGATCGCAAACACGGATTAAGGGGGCGTGGATGGGCGACGGGTCCCGCTTCCATGGGAAATCGATGATTTCCGCCGCCGAATGAGGCGGCACCGGGCGCATTTCGGGGGGGAGGGGCCCGATCCATGGATTTGGCGACCGCGCGCTAAATCCATGGATCGCTAGTCCATGTTTGCGCGCCCCCGAAACCATTCTCCGCCAATGTTCTGCCCGCGTGGGACGGCGCGCCACCGAAACCAAAAAACATATGAGTACACTTCGTCTGTGATTTTAGGGGGCAAGAAGGTTCGAGGGCAGCCCAAGGATATCTGCCAACGTCACTTCTCCTGCCTCACATCCCGTCCCGTGCTTCTGATTGCACTCTGCGAAGATGCTATGATTCGAATTCTTAACGCCCCGCATATTCTCACCAGGTCCGACGCCATGCATACTTGCACGCTGGCAGTTCGACTCAGTCTCAGTTGCCCTTGCCACCCGCCGGTCCGCCGCTGGGTCGCCGCGTGAGGCCTCGGTTAGCCGCGTTAGGCGTGGCCTGTTCCCGCTGCCATCGCTTAATTCGTCGCTGCGTAGCCCGCTTTGACCTGATTCGCCGCCGGCGCGCTCGCCTGCGGCAACTGACTAAAAATATCCCCACCAGCGCATCCAGGAGCGATGCCCAGGGGAGCTGCCCTTACTTGTCGTGGGCGCATGTATCATTTGGATACTTCCAGGAGCCTCAGTGAATTAGAGGCCTCTTGAATGCCTCTTGGATCCTTGGGAGGATTCGTGGGGCCATCTTGGAAAACATCGATCACAGAAAGGAGGGTGCCCTGCCATCGTCCCCCCTTTAGAAACCGAGAAGTTATACCCGGGGGCCGTCTCTGGGCGGTCCAGAGGCGCCCTTGGGTGTTCATAGGTCGGTTTGGAACCATGGTGGGTGTTTTTGAAAGCCTATTGGGGCCGTCTTCGGGCCCTGTTGGGGGCAGTGGGGGCCCTCTTGGGATCATCTTGGGGGAGTTCGATCAAAGGAAGGGTGTCCCTGCCGTCATTGGGCCGTTTTGGAACCAGCTTGATGCTTCGGACGGTCATCAGAAACGAAAGCATGAGAAGGACACAAACACACAAAAACCACACACACACACACCTACTCCACAGGTTTCGTCAGGATTGTGGCCTGTCGGGGGCCTCCTTGGGAAGGCTGCGTGGCCACTCGAGGCCGCCTTCGAGCGGTCCTGGGGTCTCGTGGAGCATTTTTGAAGACACCTTGCGCCAGCCTGAGGTCTCTTCAGCCATCTTGGAGGTCATCTTGGGCTCTTCTGAGGCCCCCTTTGAGCCATCTTGGGTGTTCCAGCGACCCGCGGGGCGCCCCGTTCAGACCCAGGGGTAGTGGGAGGGGTCAAGCTGCCCCAGGTACCCCAACCCGCAAGTCATGTCGCTCATTCCGTCCCGCCTCCCCAATGCATAGGCAGCATCCGAGGCTGGGGCCAAGATCCCAGTGGGTTCATGAGGTAAGGCCCCTTCGGAAGCGTGGTGTCGAGCATTCAGTGAGAAAGGTGGAGTTAGAAGCACCAGCACAACTTCGAGACGCTTCGCGTAACCCCACCAGCCCTTTCGGCAGCGAGGCCCGCCTCCTGTTTGCCTCTCCGCTTGTTTGGTCTTGTTTTTTTTCGCTTTCCTCTTCCCGTGCGCTAATTTAGGCCGTCGCCTCTGTTCTTCGCCCCTTGACGCCGCCCGATCTTCTCGCCGCGGTCGCGATCAAAAAGTAACCCCACCAGCCCATCCGGAAACGATGCCCACGTGAGTTGCCATGATCAGGGATGTGGAGGAGCATGCCGCGGAGTACGAGGCCGGGAACGCCGTCGTACTTCAAAAGGGTGAGGACGGAGGAGGAATCGGAGGAGGAGGAGGAGGAGGACGACGACGACGACATGGACGAAAGGGAGGGGGGGACGGAGGAGGGCCGAGGAGAAATTTGCGGATGAGCAAGAAGATACGGAGGAGCAGGAAGGCGAGCACAAAGGCCAGAGGCCTTTTGGATGCCTCTTGAGCGAGTCTTCGGGTGTCTCTTGAGAGCTTCTGGGAGTCCTCTTGGGACGTCTTGGGGTCCTCTTGGCGGTCCCGGGGACCTCTTGGAGCGTCTTGGGTGCCTTGGGGGAGCCTCTCAGGGCCTCTTGGGAGCCCATTGGGAGCCTTTTGGGGACCTCTTGGGGGCCTCCCGGCTCCTCCTTTCAGGGCACTTTTGT